TTGACATTGCCGGCTAAAATGAACCAAATTTGAGTGGTGTAAGAATTTAGTATTGAAAATTAACTTTATAATACACTTTGGGAAGTGAAAAGAAAACAAGTTTGGGGGTGTATGAATCTTACGAGCGAAAAAGGAAATATTTGACTTTTAAGGTCGGAAATTGGATCAACTTATTATTGTACAACATTGCACTTAACTCTCCACACACACATGTTTTGCATTGAATATGTGAAAATTTAGCTTGGGCATTATAACTCTGAAGTGATTCATGAAATTGATGTTATATTTTCAATCCTGAGCTATGAAGGCAAGATATTTAGCGAAATTTGTTTTAAGTGATTTTGTTTGATTTAGTTGAGTTTGTAGATTCAATAGTTATTTTCTAGAGTTTCATATTTGCTCGAGAACTAGCAAAATATTAAGTTTGGGGGTATTTGATGAGTGCATTTCACTCATACTTTAGATATCATCTAAACTTGATATTTAACTTATTTATACGAGTTTTAGGGTGTTTTAATGTGTGTTTTGATGTAGTGATATATGTTGATGAAATTGAAGAAAATAAGCAAAAGTTGGCAAAATTGGAGAAGATGGCTAAATTGTAAGAAATCCAAAGTTCAGGGACTAAAATGCAAATACGCAAAAGTTTTCTCGAGAGTGCTTGGAGTCAATTGGATGAAAAAAGAAGTCAAATGGATCAAATATAGTCAAAGTATGATCACACATAATTTTCCAACCGAAAAAGTTATACTCCATATTTGTAGTCTCATATTGAGACTCATTTTTTACATAGAAAAATTTTGAATTGGATAATGATATCAGAAGAAATGTTGTAGCCCTTTGAGTCGGCTTTCCAATCATCTTGAATCACCTCAATCGGATATCAGGAGAAAAAGTTATAAAAATACTGAAAGATGCGTAGTGCAGTTTATCCACCAAAGTGGGCGCCGCAGCTCCGCTGGGCGAGAAAACGGATTTTTAATATTTTTTGGACTCTTTTCTTGACCCAACACGACTCCAACCCTTCCAAGACTTCAAAATACTATAAA